GGCTGAGTAGTATTCCATTGTCTATGTACACTGTTATTTCTTTACCCAGTTATCCCTCCTAGGATGTCCATCAGCAGGAAGCTAGAGTCAGGAGCCAGAGCCAGGTATTGAACTCCAGAAATAGACACAGGCATCTTAACCACTAAGCTAAACATGCACCCCACCATTACAATTTGACACATTAATTTCAACCATCTTTGCTTCAAATATTTTAAGAAACAATAGCTTACAAGTAGAGATGAAGGATCCCTCTGTCCAATTCCTATTCTTCTATCATGGGTGTATATCCTTTTACTTTTTTCTTTTTTGACTTCTCAAAAATTTATTTGTATTTTTAAAGCATTTTTAAAATTTTATTTGGGGGGTTGGGCTGTGGTGTAGCAGGTAAAGCCACCGCCTGCAGTGCCAGCATTCCATATGAGTGCTGGTTTCGAGTCCCGACTGCACCACTTCAGATTCAGGTGTCTGCTAAGGCCTGGGAAAGCAGTAGAAGATGCCCCAAGTCCTGGGCCTCTGCACCCATGTGAGAGACTCAGAAGAAACTCCTAGCTCCTGGCTTCAGATCAGCACAGCTCTGGCTGTTGCAGCCATCTGGGGAGTGAACCAGTGGATGGAAGTGTTCTCTCTCTCTCTCTTTCTCTCTCTCTCTGCCTCTCTGTAACTTTGCCTTTCAAATAAATGAATAAATATTTTTTCAAAATTTTACTTGGAATAATTGACCATGTTTATGGGGCACAGTGTGACATTTCGGTACATGTATATGAAGAGCTGATCAATCCAGTATAATTAATATTGCCCTTTCTTTGTCATTACTTCATACTTGAAGCTGTAGAGCTCCTCTTTTCTATTTGCTCTGAAATGTATAAGTGATTAGTGTTCAATTTCATACCTACTATCCTGTGTAACATTAGGAAGTTACTCTAACTCTGATTTGATACCCATTATCCAACCTCCCTCTGTTCCCTCCCGGCCTCTAATATTTATTATTCTGTGTTTGTATTGAGATATTTTAGTTTCCATATGTGAGAGACAATATGCATTGTTGGTATTTTTGTGTCTAATTTCACTTAACATCCTTCAGTTCCATTCATGTTGCCTCAAATCACAGGATCTCATTCTTTTGAATGGCTATTAACATTCTATTGTTTATAAATATACAACATTTAGGCCGGCGCCGCGGCTCAGTAGGCTAATCCTCCGCCTAGCGGCGCCGGCACACCGGGTTCTAGTCCCAGTCGGGGCGCCGGATTCTGTCCCGGTTGCCCCTCTTCCAGGCCAGCCCTCTGCTGTGGCCAGGGAGTGCAGTGGAGGATGGCCCAGGTGCTTGGGCCCTGCACCCCATGGGAGACCAGGAAAAAGCACCTGGCTCCTGGCTCCTGCCATCGGATCAGCGCGGTGCGCCGGCCGCAGCGCGCCGGCCGCAGCGGCCATTGGAGGGTGAACCAACGGCAAAGGAAGACCTTTCTCTCTGTCTCTCTCTCTCACTGTCCACTCTGCCTGTCAAAAAAAAAAAAAAAAAAAATTAAAAAAAAAAAATATACAACATTTTCTTTATCCATTCACCTGTTAAGAAACACCTTGGTTGAGTTCATATCTTGGCTATTGTAAAAAAGTGCTGCAATAAAAATGGTGATGCAAGTATCTGCTTAATGTAATGATTTCACTTCTTTTAGACATGAAGGTGGGGTTGCTGGACCATGTGGTATGTCTATTTATAGTGCTTAAAGGAATCTCCCTACTGTTTTCCATACTGGCTATACTAACTTACATTGCTATCCACAGTATGTAAGAGTTCCCCTTTCACCACATCCTTGCAAGCATTTGTCAGTTTCTGTCTTTTTGATAATATCCGATCTGACTGGAATTCAGTGATGTCTCATTGCAGATTTGATTGGCATTTTCCTGATGGCTAGTGATATTGAGCATGTTTTCATATGTTCATTGGCAATTTGCATTTCTTCTTTTGAAATATGTCAATTTTTTAACTGGATTGGTTATTTTCCTCTTTTTGATTTTTTTAAAGTTTTTCATATATTCTAGATGTTATCCTCTGTCAAATAAGTACTTTACAAATGTCTTCTCTCATTCTCTAAGTTATCCATTCACTCTGTTAATTATTTCCATTTCTGTGCAGAAGCTTCTTAGTTTATATAATCCCATTTGTCTAAGTTTGCTTTTGTTTGTATGTTTAGGGTCTTATCCAAAAATCATTGCCTACACCAAAGTCTTGAAGTTTCCCATTTTCCTCCTAGAAGTGTCAAAGCTTTTTTATTTTTTTTATATTTAAGTCTTTGATCCATCTCAAGTTGATATTTTAAAAACATTGATTTATTTATTTGAAAGGCAGAGTTACACAGAGAGAGAGAGGGAGAGAAAAATAGAGAGATCATCCATCTGCTGGTTCACTCCCCAAATGGCCACAATGGCCAGAGCTGGACCACTCTGAAGCCTGGAGCCGGGAACTTCTTCCAAGTCTCACAGGTGGGTGTGGGGGCCTGAGTACTTGTGCCATCCTCTGCTGCCCTATCAGTCACATTAGCAGGGAGCTGGATCAGAAGTGGAGCAGCCAGGACTAGAACCAGTGTCCATATGCCAGCATCGCATGTAGTGGATTGACCTGCCATGCCACAATGCTGGCTGAGCTGATTTTTTTTAAAGATTTACTTACTTATTTGAAAGGCAGAGTTACAAAGAGAGGAAGAGAGAGAGAGAGAGAGAGAGAGAGTGTGCACTCCATCTGCTGGATAACTCCCCAAATGGCTGCAATGGCCCTAGATGGGCCAATCTGGAGCCAGGAGCCAGGCCCTTCATCTGGGTCTCCCACGAGGGTGCAGGGGCTCAAGCACTTGGGTCATCGTCCACTGCTTTCCCCGGTGCATTAGCAGGGAGCTGGATTGGAAGTGAAGCAGCTGGGACTCAAATGGGCACTGTATGGGATACTGGCACCGCAGGCAGTGGTGTTACCCTCTACACCACAGTGCTGGCTCCCTGAGTTGATTTTGATAAGTTATAAGAGGTAGGAATGATGTTTCATTTCTCTCTCTCTCTCATGAAGGAGTAAGTTGGTTTTACATAGAATCATGATGATTACGGTTCAAAATTATCTATTATATATTTTATGAGAAAACAGAAGAAAGGAGCTCTAAGACTACAGTCATAAAGTCTTATTAAAGAAGGAGAAATTTGGGGGTGGACCTTGTGGCACAGTTAAGCTGCTGCTTGCAATGCACATCCCATATCAAAGTGCCTGAATTTGAGTCTTGCCACCAGTTCTGATCCAGCTTCCTCCTGATGTGCATCCTGGGAGGGAGCAGGTGATGGCTCAGGTACTCTGGTCTTTGCCACCTGTGTTGTAGCCATTTAGGGAGTAAATCAATGGGTGGAAGATCTCTCTCATTCTCTCTCCCTCCCCCACTCCCATCTCTTCCTATCAATTTGCCTTTCAAAGAATAAAACTAAATAAATGAAACATTTTAAAAGAAGGGGAAATGTTAATTATCCTAATCGGTTCCATGCACATTGTATTCATGTACTGAAATGGCACTGTAATCCATAAATATGTACAACTAGTTAATAAAATATTTTTGAAGTTCAATCTAAGATTCCTTTTTAAAACTTCCAAATAGAAATTCATTTTTTAATTCTTCAATCCTATATGGCTCTTGATTTGGAAAAGCAAATGTAAGGAGATCTGTAAAGTAAGCTCACAATCTTGCTTCACTTAGAGTAAAAAATCAAGCCAGGGCTAGCATTGTGGCATTGTGGATAAAGCCACTCTCTGCAATGCCAGCCTCATGTATGGACACTGGTTTGAGTCCCAGCTGATCCACTTCCAATCCAACTCCCTGCTAATGTGCCTAGGAAAGCAGTGGAAGATTGTCCAATTCTTTGGGCCTCTGTACCCACGAATGAGACCCAGAAGAAACTCCTGGCTCCAGGCTTTAGATGGTACCAGCTCCACACATTGAGGCCATTTCAGGAGTGAACAAGCAGCAGATGGAAGATGTATATTCATATTTGCTCTCTCTCCCCCACTTTTTTTCTCTCTGTACACTCTGAAATTCAAGTAAATAAATAAATTTTTAGAAAAAAGAATAAATAATCAAGCCAAAGAATAATAAAGTGAATCAATGACACAGAATAAGCAAGGACATTAAAGTCGTAGCCCTAGTAATCTCTTTCCTACTTTACATGTTATGAGATATGTGAACCTTTAATATAAGCATTTAAAAATTATAATCAGTGCTTGTTTATATTTACCCATACTTACCAGTTTCTTTGTTCATCATTGCTTCTAGATTCAACTCCATTGTGAGCCCAGCTAATTTCTCTCCAGAGGGCCTCCTTTCATGCCTCATTCTTGAATGATCAGTTAGTGGACATAGAATTACTGATTGATCATTACCTTCAGCACTGTGGAAATATTATAAGACTGGTTTTGCCCTTTGTTGAGAAGTCTGTTATCAATAAGTCCAAGTGTAACATCCTTTATCATTAATTTTTGTTTCTTCAGAGAATTTTTCTTTGTATCTGAAGTATCTGAATTGTAATTGATAATAAGGATAATTCAAAAAGTTGTAGAAATGGAATTAAAGCAAGTTTATTTTGGTGCAAAAATTTTTTTATCCATGTATATAAGGAATCTTCTAAAAGTTCATGCAAAGATGTGTTTATGAAAAACTATTTGGGGCTGGTGCTGTGGCATAGCGGGTAGAGCTTCCACCTGCAGTGCTGGCATCCCATGTGGGTGCCAGTTTGAGTCCCGGTTTCTCCAATTCTGGTCCAGCTCTCTGCTGTGGCCTGGGAAAGCAGTAGAGGATGGCCCAAGCCCTCGGGCCCTTGCACTCACATGGGAGGCCTGGAAAAGGTTCCTGTCTCCTTGCTTTGGATCAGCACAGCTCCGGCTGTTGTGGCCAGTTGGAGAGTGAACCAGCAGATGGAAGATTCTCTCTCTCTCTCTCTCTCTCTCTCTCTCTCTCTCTGACTCTCTATGTAACTCTGACTTTCAAATAAATTAAATAATTCTCAAAAAAAAAATAACTGCGCAAGGATTCCAAAACTATTTTGCACCAAAATAAACTTACTTTTAAATTTCTTTTCCCACAAGCTTTTTGAAGCATGTCTTCATATATCCAGGTGTGAATCTGTGATAATTTAACCTGCTCGAGACGTATGTATTTCCTCAATCTGAAGATTCATGTTTTTCACAATTCTGGAAAATCTTCAACCTTTCAACTAGTTCACAGCAAACTTTTATTCCACAAAAAGTCCTTGGAACATACATTGGGACTTCTCATTCTGTTTTCCCTGCCTCTGAAGTGCTCTATCATGTTTTCAGTTTCCCTGTCATTCATGCTGTTTCAGGCAACTTCTTCATATTTTTAACCTAAGATTCCCAGTTCTCTCATCATCATTGTTTATCAGGCTCTCTAACCTTATGATGGAGTGTTGTAGTTCTGAGATTACATTTTGTCACTGCCATTGCCACTGCCAGATGTCCCCGGGAAGAGGAAGCAAAGTCTTCCCCAGTCGGCCCCTAAGCTAATGGTAGCCAATGACCAGGGCACAGAATGCTGTGGTAGGCTGAGCCTATGCAGTTTTATTTGATAACCAATTTTCCTCCAAATCCTGTCAACATTTCATAACTTTCATTCTTCTGGGTCATTGGCTACATGTACCCCAGGGATTTGCAAGACAGATCAATTGTGCTCATCAGCAGATACATGGAAATGTCTGAAATTTGGGGTGGTCACAGCTGGAGAGAGAGGCATGTGTGACTGACATTGAATGGGTACAGAAACTGCTAGGTATCCCCAAAAGGAACTCCATCCAAAATGTCAAGTGGGCCCCCATTTGAGGAACCCTGCTCTAACCTAACCAACTGTAAGGGCTTTGAGATTTCTTAGCTGCAAACATGGTGATTTTCCTATGTGTACATATGAGCTTTTTTTTTTAATAAACTCACTCAGCGTGGAGTTGCTTGTGCTCACTGATGCATGCTTGCACTAGACCATCAGTACTTTCCCCTGCTTTTGGTTTTTGGCAGTGTGTGTACAGAAGATGTTTGCCTGCAGATTTCAAGAAGAGAAATGCTTCAGAGATGGGTAGCTTTACAGAACGGAACAGAAGAGAATATAAGCTTGAGACACACACTACAAGAGTCAAATATGTGTTACATTCAATGTGTAGATGATAGCCACAGTATTTTCTGTATGCAGAAAATTTCTTCAAGAAATTTCTACCAGCAGCCTTCCAAAAACTGAGAAAACTTCCAAAACTTCCAAAACTGAGAAAGCCCTCAGTTCAGACCTTTTCCTTTGAATGATCGTCCACAGGCAGGGGTTTTACTCGATTCCGCCGTTCTGCTAAACATAACTCACAGAGAAACATGGTGGCACTTACTAGTGATAGAGTGGCTGTCGAGATTCCTGCTGGAAACACATAGCTGAAGTGTTTCCTTATCAGGATTTCTTTGTCAACAGGAAAGGTAAGGGGAAAGTCAAGAGTGCTTTGCCCATAAAAATCCACAGTGAAATTCCAGATCACTACAGTGAAGGTACAGCCACAGCTGGTGAAAAGGAAGAAGACAGATATTTTGTAACACATTTGGATGAACTCTGGGTATGGTGCCTTCATCCAGCTGACCAGAACGGCCACTGTGCTGAAGATCAGAACAGTCGTCTTCATAAAAATAGGCAGCACTATCAGGTCCCGCCCATATTCAATCTCAGTCGAAATGACCCAGCTTGCATTGATAGTGCTAGACATCGGCACCTCCGTTACTGAACCAGAGATGTTAACTCTTTTGTAATAGAAGGCTTCCCAAAATCCAATGAACACAAAAGGCACAGTCTGGCTGTCGAATTCCCACACGCGCCAGGATCTGCTGTTGACAAGGCTCACACCAAAAGCCCAGGACAGATAACTGAAGAAGAGACCAATGAGTTTGCAGATCCATTGCTTCATTTCAGACAAACTGAAGATGAGGTGGAGGAGTTGTGAATTCAAGCCAGGGGCACCAGAGAGGAAACAAAAAACAAAATCAGATTGCATGAGCCATGGTTTAGGGAGGGCAGAAATACCTACATCCCGTCCTTGTCAGAAAGGTATATTGAACTGTTCATTATATGCATGTTGGCCTTCAAACAATCCTCTAAATATTTTGCATAACAATAAAAGATGCCTAGGAACCCATGACGGGGTGAGGGTATGAATTCATAAGGCATTTTAGGAGCACAGTCTGACAAGATCTTTGAAAAGTTCAAATGTTTATACTTTTATCTAGCAGCTCCAGACTAAGTCTAGGCTTGCAAAAACGTTTGTAAAGAGATGTTAGTTTCAGCTACATTTGCAGTTGAGAAAAATTAGACATAATCAAAATGTCTATAAATAGAGGAATGCTTAAACTGTTGTACATCTGAGATAATAGTGGAATATCATATAGCTATCACCAAGGGTGAGTTAATCAATATGAACTATAAGAAGAAATTTCTATGTTATAGCAGAAAATGAACCATAATACATGTGATATGATAATTTGTCAGAAGAAAATTCCCACCTGATTAGATATGTATATATACATATATACACACATTTTTGAAAATTTATAATATACACACCAAATATTTAATTCTTAACATTAAATGTTTATGTTTTAGACTTTGATTCTTTACATGTTTTTCTAGTTTGTACATTTTTAAATGCAAAACACACATACATTTATACTTACTAGCAGAAGGAACACAATTCTAAGGATCTGTGTATTAAACACAACAGATCTTGCCCATTCACATTTTTTCAACCACCATTTGCTCAATTGCACCTTCGGATCTCAACATATTCTAGATGCAACTTAAAAAAATCCTGAGTTATTCATCTTCCGTGAAGCAGTTTTGACATTATAAATCAATTTACTAGGGGCTGGCGCTGTGGTGCAGTGGGTTATTGCCCTGGCCTGAAGCACTGGCATTGCATATGGGTGCTGGTCCAAGTCCCAGCTGCTCCACTTCCAATCCAGCTCTTGGCTATTGCCTCAGAGAGCAGTGGAAGATGGCCCATGTCCTTGGGCCCCTGCACCCACATGGCAGACCTGGAAGAAGCTCCTGGATCCTGGCTTTGGATCAGTGCAGCTCCGGCCATTGCAGCCAATTGGGGAGTGACTGATCAGATGGGAGAACTCTCTCTCTCTCTCTCTCTCTCTGCCTCTCTCTGTGTAACTCTGACTTTCAAATAAATGAATAAATCGTCAAAAAAATAAATCAACTTACTAGGGCCATCTGTTCATTTGAATCCTTGGGAATAAGGGGTGGGAATAATCAGGAAATTACACTGCTCAGACATCCTGCCCTATTGTTCAACAGAAAGGACTGAGGTCTGCTCTGCTGGGGTACCAGGTGTGTGGATGCTGAAAGTAACTGCCCACGCAGAAGATGTTAGGGGCATCCAAACTACATCTCCTTGCTGTGAAGCCTGATATTTACAACACTGTAGCCGCTGCTCCTCACTCTTCTGCCAAATGTATTTCCAAGTCCCTGGAAGGCTACAGTTTTACAGCGTGGGAAGTTACCGTAGTAAGATGTGTGTGGAGTTGATCACCCATTTGATTAATTCACTGTGTTATTAGTACTTCCTTGCTACTGGGGGACTGAAGAAATGGAAACGAATCAGGGATCTGGATGAGGAAAAGGAATCAAGGAGGCAGAATGTGGTAGTTGCCAAGAAAATATGTCCATAGCTGAAACCTGTGGAGCGAGACACATTTTCCTAAAAACTTAATTTGAAAGATTGAGGTGTACATTTTTAAATTTATTTTTTTTATTTTTGATAGGCAGAGTTAGACAGTGAGAGAGAGAGAGTTATAGACAGTGAAAGAGAGACAGAGAGAAAGGTATTCCTTCCATTGGTTCACTCCACTAATGGCTGCCACGGCTGGCAGCTGCACTGATCTGAAGCCAGGAGCCGGGTGCTTCCTCCTGGTCTCCCATGGGGTGCAGGGCCCAAGCACTTGGGCCATCCTCCATTTCCCTTCCTGGGCCACAGCAGAGAGCTGGACTGGAAGAGGAGCAACCGAGACTAGTACCCGGCGCCCCAACCGGGACTAGAACCCAGGGTGCCGGTGCTGTAGGCAGAGAATTAGCTAAGTGATCCATGGCGCCTGCCAAAGTTTACATTTTTTTAAAGATTTAAATTTAAAATTTTTAAAGAGTTAAAAGTTTTACTCTTAGGGTTGGTGTTTGGCACAGTTTTTCAAGTGCCACTTGAGATGTTTGTGTTTCCCATATCAGACTGCCTGGGTTCGAGTCCTGGCTTTGTTCCTTATTCAAAATCCCTGCAACTGCTAACCCTGGGAGACAGCAGGTAACATCTGAAGTACTTGTGTCTATGCCATCCACATGGGAGACCAGGATTGAATTTCTGGTTCCACTCTACAGCAGGGCACAATCTCAGCTGTGGTGAACATTTGGGCAATGAACCAGTAGATGGAAGATCTTTCTGTGTGCCAGCCTTTGTCTGTTTCTTTATTTTAAAATCTTTCTCTATATCTCTGTCTCTGCCTCTTGATTGATTGATTGAATGAATGAATGAATAAATAAATAAAAAATTTACCGGTAGAGCCTAAAAATTCCATACATTTGGATGCTTGGAGCATGGAACACACTCTTCATGGCAGTTGAATATGTTGAACAGGGAGAAGAAATTTTCCAGCCAACTTTAAAAGAATCGCAGAGAGGGAAACACCTACAGTTAAAAAATGTATTGTTAGGTAGAGTTTCAGGCTCTGAGCAAAGCCCCAGATCCCTGAGTCTCACGAAAGAGTTCTCACATGCTTATTGTATACTTTAAGTGTTGTTTAGGCTAGGTCCTATTCCAAACACTTGGGAAATAAAACTGCATTCAGTCATCATGACAGCACAAAGATGGCTGTGTGATTATGCTCTCAGCTTTACAGGCAGGACAACTGAGTGGAGAGGTTAAAGAACGTATTCCCAATCAATGACACAGATCTACACAGCATGCCAGGCTCCAGAGCCCTGATGCCTGGAAGTAGTGCTTCTCGGCTCTCTCCATACCAGTTGGTATATAGTCACATATAATGATAGAAAAATCCCATGTCATTTATAGTAATGGCTATTGGTGGCCATGACTATGCTGTATTAAAAAATGAAAGTGAATCCTTTTGTGATAGCAGCACATGGGAAAATAGAGAATGGTTGTCTTTCTGTCTCCTTTATCTTGGTTTGACTAAAGACATCTTCAAAGCTGACACTTTGATCTGTTAAAAAGAACAACAAATGTCAGGATGTGGAGAAATGAAAACCCTTGCACATTGCTTTTGGGAACATAAAACTGCGGCCATTAAAAACACTATGGGTTTTCCATAGAAAAAGCACAATAGTTACCACATGATCAAGTAATTCCACTTCAGGGTGTATACTCAAAAGAATTGAAAGCAGGGTCTTGAATAGATATTAGCACACCCTGTTCACAACATTATTCACATGAGCCAAAATGAGGAAACAACCTGAATTTCTAGGGATAGATGAATGGGTAAACAAAGCATGCTGTATCCAAGGAAGAAAATTCTGACACGGGCTGCTCATATAAAACATGGATGAGTCTTGAAAACATTAATAAGCTAAGTGAAGTGAATAGACCAGTCAGAAAAGATAATTCCTCTATGATCCCACATATATGAAGTGCCCACAGTAGTCAAATTCATAGAGACAGGAAGTACAGTGGAGGCTGCCAGGGGCTCAGGGCAGGAGGGGCTATGGATACAGTTGCACATGGGTCAGATGAAAAGGTTCTGGAGAAGGATGTACAACAATTAAACATACTTAATGCCACTGACATATACACTTCAAAATGGTTCAGATGGTGAATTGTATGTTCTGTGAATTTAACCACCCTGAAAATGTAATATTATGAAAAACATACTTTACAAAGAACAAAGACATGATTCATGAACGGAATGACACCCGGTGATATGGTGACACCCTCACTTTCATTTCTTTTCTTTTTTTTTAGCATAAATTCATTTTTAAATTTGTGTTTGCAAGTCAGAGAGACAGAGAACTTGAACTCAATCCGGGTCTCCCACATGAGTAGCAGGGACCCAAGTATTTGTGCCATCAGCAGCTGTTTCCCAGGGTGTGCATTAGCAGGAAGCTGAAGTTAGGATGAAAGGAGGACTGGAACCACAGCGCTCCAGTGATCCTTCTTAGGGAAATGCAGTTGTGATGGTCATATTACCCATGCTGTAGATACCATTTACATTCAAAGTGACATGCAGGCACCCTCAATTAAAAATGCCAACAGCACAGATTTAATAGATAACACAGAAAATGTCCAAATAAAGTGGCTTGGAATGATCACTTGTAGGACCATCAAATGACATTGAACTTCTTCATGAAGATAATAAAATGTTTAAAGGACTTCCAGTAAGCCTCAAGAATCTTTTTAACTGGAGGTAAATAATAAACCATAATGGTTTCCCTTCAGCAAATCAAAAAAGAGAGTAGGAAGTTTTCTCAGTAGTATAAAGGATAGCAAGAGCCAAATGGTAAAGTAAGGAATGTGAGGATGTTCTTCGGCTTCCATGACTCAGAGGGCTGCTTGATGAATTCTGAATAGACAGTATGTTACAAGAGAAAAGATAAAGGACCACAGTGGTCAAGTTCCCCCTGCAAGAGCTCAGAAAGAAGTCTTTTGATAATTGAAATGTCTTTTTGGAGGTTTTGGGTCAGTCACTGTAATCTATGAGTGTTCCAGGAGGAAAATGGCAAAAAGCTCCCAGTAACTGAAAGAGAAATATTCTATGAGTGGAGCCAGAGGTATTCACTGAGAAGTCAGGGTTACCCAGAGTGTGCCTTCCATAAATTTCTTAGACAAGGAACAATGGCGAGATATTGACATTCTGAAATTCATAAGGCCCTAAGGTGTGCTTTTGTTTGTTTTGATTGCAAAAGGAAGTCCCATTCTTCTCTGTATTTTACATCAATTAAGGTTGTTGGGGCAGGTGTTTGACCTAGCAGTGAGGACACCAGTTAAATTCCTATGCCTCACCTCAGAGTGCCTGTGCTTGATTTCTAGCTCCTAACTACAGGTGGCTGCTCATGTGGACCCGCCATGAAATACTCTACTCACCGGGTATGGTGGCAGCGGTTCTGGGCGTTTCTCTCTGTCTGGACTGGGGTTGAAGAAAAGGATTGGGAGGAGGAAGGCATAACCACTACTGACCTGCACTCACCCGTCAATGTCACTGGTGACTTCTTTTGCCCTGGTCACAGCAGCAAAACATTCTGGTACTTTCCAAGTCTCAACTCCTGCTCAGGTGCTCCTGGATACCTCAAAAAGGATCTCTATGGGGAAGAAAGAATGAAATTAATGCCACCATTCCTTACAGCGCCCACCAGTGTGTGTTGTGCCAATCAAAATATATAACGCACATTCTCTTTGCTATTTTTCTTAAAAAAGTGGGGGAGGGTTCCTTAAATAATCTTTTCACAAGGTGTCTCAGAAAGTCATGAGATGTCCTCTTTTACCTTGTTTCCACCAAGCAGCCCCTGCCACGTTGAACATCTCACCTTTCACATCCAGAGCCTTTTGTTATGGTCATCCTGTTCTCTTTTGAGACTAAAGGAAGTAGGAGGGCCCATGGGCCATTATCCAGAGCCCAAGCCAAGGCTGTCAGTTCTTTTGGTGGCCAGCAGGTGGCAGACAGGGAGTTGGTGCAAGAGCCGTCCTGTCCTGCCCTAGCCATATCTCCACTGCTCACTTCTGTTTGCCTGAGGAGATGTGATGTTGATTCACTTAAGTCACACAGGTGATTTTTTTCAAAGCCCTTCTATGCTTGGTGGTCTTTGATTAGACCAGAGAAAGATTTCACTGGGGAAACATGCTGTTTCATTGGGAACTATTTTCTTTCCTTTTTTAAGGTATTCTTTTTTTAATTTATTTTTTAAAGAATACAAATTTCATAAGTGCAACTTTAAGAATATAGTGATTCTTCCCACCATACTTTGCCCTCCCACCCACACTCCCACCCCTCCACCTCCTCCCTCTCCCCTTGCTAGTCCCATTCTCCATTAAGATTCATTTTCAATTAATTTTGTACATGAAGACCAACTCTATATTAAGTAAAGATTTCAACAATTTGCATTCACACACACACACACACACACAAAACTGAGAACTGGTTTTACAGTTAACTCTCAATACAGCTCATTGAGGTCAGAGGTCTTGCATGGGGAGTTAGTGCACAGTGTCTCCTGTTGTTAACAATTTACACTCTTATGTGTGATGTCAGTGACCACTAGTTAGGAACTATTTTCAAAGCCATTGTTGTAGTTGTGTGGAGTTGTGTGGAACTCAGAAATTAAAGTGATTATTATCTGAATTTTAACTTACTTATGCCATTTTGGAGCATTCATTTATTGTTGACTGATGTCTTTTTTTTTTTTTTTTGACAGGCAGAGTGGACAGTGAGAGAGAGAAAGACAGAGAGAAAGGTCTTCCTTTTTGCTGTTGGTTCACCCTCCAATGGCCGCTGCAGCTGGCGCGCTGCAGCCGGTGCACCGCGCTGATCCGCTGGCAGGAGCCAGGTGCTTCTCCTGGTCTCCCATGGGGTGCAGGGCCCAAGCACTCCCTGGCCACAGCAGAGAGCTGGCCTGGAAGAGGGGCAACCGGGACAGAATCCGGCGCCCTGACCGGGACTAGAACCCCGTGTGCTGGCGCCACAAGGTGGAGGATTAGACGCGGCGCCGGCCGACTGATGTCTTTTCAACACCTGTGGTGGTGTGAGCCTTCAAGCTGCTTGAATAGAGGATGTATGTCTTGTATTTTATATCCCCACAGCTCTTGGTTGTGTGTTTGGCAGCATCCCTTGCATGAAGACATTAACATTTGGTGAATGAATTAATCAGAAAGTATGAGTTGAAGTTGTGTCTCCCGGGGTGGCCTGTTTTTAAAAAAACTTATTTTATTTATTTGAAAGAGTTATGGAGAGAGGCAGAGACAGACAGAGAGGTCTTCCATCTGCTGGTTCACTCCCCAGAAGGCCACAACATCCGGAGCTGAGTGGATCCAAAGCCAGGAGCCTTCCCCATGCTGGCAACCACACAATGCAAAGAAACTACTGGAACATTCCTCAAAATGCAAAGGTAGACTTGAACCAAGAGAAAAACGTATCCTGTCCTTTTTGTAAACATTGAATTGTCAACTTTATTTTCATTTGAAAGGCACAGAGACAGAGACAAGGGAGAAACACAGGAAAAAAGAGATCTTCCATCTACTGGACCACTCCCCAAATGCCTCAACAGCCAGGTCTGGGGCAGGCTGAAGCCAGGATTCAGGAACTCCATCCAGGTCTCTCATGTGGGTGGCAGAGACTCAACTACTTGAGCCATCACCTGCTGCCTCCCAGGGTGTGCATTAGCAGGAAGCTGGAATGTGGAAGGACCTGGGACTAGAGCAGATGTTCAAAGTGGCATCTTATTCACTGTGCCACATTCCTTTCCTCATAACATCTTTCAGTAAGGATAGTCAGTATTATAAATATGTAAATTATCCTGAAGTTAGTTTATAAAATTCCTTTGATGCTAGTAAAATTATTAGAAGAGTTTTATGTTTCTGGTCTTGAACAAGACAAATGGATTATAAAGTTCATATGAAAAAATAAACAGAAACAGCTAAGAAAGCACTGAAGATAGGATACAAATAAGATGCCAAATAACATAACATGGTCTTTTTTTTATTCGACAGGCAGAGTTAGGGAGAGAGAGAGAGAGAGAGAGAGAGAAAGGTCTTCCTTCCATTGGTCTCTCCCCAAAATGGTTGCTACGCCATTTTGTGCCTATCAGAAGCCAGGAGCCAGGTGCCTCCCCCTGGTCTCCCATGCGGGTGCAGGGGCCCAAGCACTTGGGCCATCCTCCACTGCCCTCCCGGGCCATAGCAGAGAGCTGGACTGGAAGAAGAGCAGCTGGAACTAGAACCCGGCACCCATATGGGATGCCAGGGCCTCAGGCAGAAGATGAACCAAGTGAGCCACGGCTCTGGCCCTATAATATGGTCTTTTTTTTAATTTTTAAATTTTTTTTTTGACAGGCAGAGTGGACAGTGAGAGAGAGAGACAGAGAGAAAGGTCTTCCTTTGCTGTTGGTTCACCCTCCAATGGCTGCCGCGGCTGGTGCACCGCGCTGATCCGATGGCAGGAGCCAGGTGCTTATCCTGGTCTCCCATGGGGTGAGGGCCCAAGGACTTGGGCCATCCTCCACTGCACTCCCTGGCCACAGCAGAGAGCTGGCCTGGAAGAGGGGCAACTGGGACAGAATCTGGTGCCCAACTGGGACTAGAACCTGGTGTGCCGGCGCCGCAAGGCGGAGGATTAGCCTAGTGAGTCGCGGCGCCGGCCACAATATGGTCTTAAAATAAGTATCTAGTGGTTGGCATTAGTTGTGAACTGGATAGGTTAAGGAACACCTAAAGGACTGATACAGCAGTATATCCAGGCATGACTGTGAGGGTGTTCCCAGAGCAGATTGGTGTGGGAGCCAGTGGACACAGTGCGATGACCCACTAGATGTGGGTATATACTGTCCAGTTGGTTGGAGGTTCACATAGAACAAAAAGGCAGAGGAAAGGTGAATTCATTCTCTCTCTCCTTTCTCTCTCTCTCTCTCAGGCAGAGGAAAGGTGAATTCATTCATTCTCTCCTTTCTCTCTCTCTCTCTCTTTCTCTCTCTGTCTCTCTCTCTCTCTCTCCCCCTTTCTCTCTCTCCAGGAGTTGGGACACCCTTCTTCTTCTACCCTTGAACATCACAACTCCCGAGTTCTCTGGCCTTGGGACTCTGGGACTTACACCAGAGTGGACTTGCAGCTCCTCATGTTCTCTGGCCTTCAGTCTTAGACTGAGGAGTTATACCACCCCATTCCCTGGTTCTGAGGCTTTGGGACTTGGACTGAGCCATGCTCCCATCACCCCTGGGTCTCCAGCTTGCAGATGGCCAATCATTGGACCTCTCAGCCTCATAATCATGTGTGCCAGTTCCCCTACCAACATCCTGCTTTGCATATCTCCATCTTTCTAGCTCTAGATCCTATTGTTTCTGTCTCTCTGGGGAATCTTTTTTTTTTTTTTTTAATTTTTTTTTTTTTTGACAGGCAGAGTGGACAGTGAGAAAGAGAGACAGGTGAGAAAGGTCTTCCTTTTGCCGTTGGTTCACCCTCCAATGGCCGCCGCAGCTGGCGCGTTGCGGCCGGCGCACCGCGCTGATCCGATGGCAGGAGCCAGGTGCCTCTCCTGGTCTCCCATGGGGTGCAGGGCCCAAGTACTTGGGCCATCCTCCACTGCACTCCCTGGCCACAGCAGAGAGCTGGCCTGGAAGAGGGGCAACCGGGACAGAATCCAGCGCCCCGACTGGGACTAGAGAACACGGTGTGCCGGCGCCACAAGGCAGAGGATTAGCCTAGTGAGCCGCGGCGCCGGCCTCTCTGTGGAATCTTGATGAGTACAGTCTCTATATCTTAAAGTAAGACAGTGTTGACCCATGAATCCATGAATCCATGAAAGAAGTCAAACAGAAAGTCTAGAAATTAGCAAATATCTATGAAAATTAATATCTGAAAAAGAATCTCAAATATGGTGAAATATGGATTTTTAAATTAAGTTGTAGTTGTAGAAAGGGAAAGTTATTTGCAGAAAGAGAAATTTGGCCCAATATCTCAGGATAAATTCCAAATCAATACATTAGAAGTGAAATCATTCCAGTACAGTTAGGCCTCAAGGACCATGGAGGATTTGGTTCCAAGTCCCTGAAACCTCCTTCAGATAGCAGGCTCCACAGATGCTCAGGTGTCTTATATAAACTTGCATGGTATTTGCACGTAACCCATGCATCCTCTCCTATATTCTTCATATCATCATATCATCTCTAGATTACCCACAGTAACTCCACAATGTAAATGCTATGTAAACAGATGTTGTGTTGTTGGGGGATAATAACAAGAAAAATAAAGCCTGTTACATGTTCAATCAGATGTAATTTTTAAAAATATTTTTGGGGCTGGTGTTTCGGCCCAGCAGATCAAGCTGCCACCCGGGACTCTAGGATCCCATGTGAGCATCAGTTGCAGTCCTAGCTCCTCCACTTCTGATCCAACTTCCTCTTACTGCGCCTGGAAAGCAGCACAAGATGGACCAAGTATTTGGGCCACTGCTACCCACGTGGGAGACCCAGATGGAGTCCTGGGCTCCTGCTTCAGCCTGGCACAATCCCAGTGGTTGCAGCCGCCTAGGGAGTGAACCAGTGGATGTGAGATCTCTTTGTCTCTCCCCTCCTCTCTGTAATTCTGCCTAAATAAACTCTGTCTCAGTAAATGAATTTTAAACAAATTTTCTTCCGTGGCATTAAAATTATATTTGTGAAACCAGCAGATATAGAGGGTTGACTGTATGAGGAAAAAAATGAACACACAGTTGATACTATTCAGGAACATCACTTTCATAAAATAAAGCTTGTAAAGAATTGTTTGAGGTATCTAGTGTATTGATTGTCTTGGATAAACTTTTTTCTTGCTTGTTTGTTTTGTCTTAAAAAATACCCATGGTATATGTCACTTTGGCTCCACTGCCAAAGACGAGTACATTTGATAGTAAAAAGGAATAATGAATGCAACTTAGTGAGACATTTTGAACATATAGAAAACCACAGGTTACTGTTAAGAATACTTATGGTACAATTAGGGATATTTGAGCAATGACTGGGTACTTGAGTACGTTAAGAACTTACTGTTGCCAGCGCCGCAGCTCACTAGGCTAATCCTCCGCCTTGCGGCGCCGGCACACCGGGTTCTAGTCCCGGTTGGGGCGCCGGATTCTGTCCTGGTTGCCCCTCTTCCAGGCCAGCTCTCTGCTGTGGCCTGGGAGTTCAGTGGAGGATGGCCCAAGTGCTTGGGCCCTGCACCCCATGGGAGACCAGGAGAAGCACCTGGCTCCTTCCATCGGATCAGCACAGTGCACCAGCCGCAGTGTGCCAGCCGCGGCGGCCATTGGAGGGTGAACCAACGGCAAAGGAAGACTTTTCTCTCTGTCTCTCTCTCTCTCAACTGTCCACTCTGCCTGTCAAAAACAAACAAACAAACAAAAAAAACAAAAAAAAATTACTGTTAACATTTTTAGTATGATAGTGGCAAAATGCTATATTAAAATGAGAACTAATTTTAGAAATACATACTGAAGTATCTGTGGATAAAATAATATATTGCCATGGATTTATTCCAAAATAATCTATGACTGGGTTTGGGATAGGTAGAAAGGATAGAGATGAAACATGACTGACTATATATTGATAACTATTAAAGTTGAGCCAATAGTATCTCTAGCTTTAAATAAACTTAAAAGTTCTATAATAAAAACACATAAATACTATCATGAATCCATACTCAACAGTTGAGTTGCTATACACACAAAAAAATGAAATAGCAAAACCAAAAAAACCAGTACATTCAACAACACTGAAGGTAACTTTTTTATTTTTATTATTATTATTTTTTTTTGACAGACAGAGTGGACAGTGAGAGAGAGAGCCAGAGAGAAAGCTCTTCTTTTTTCCGTTGGTTCACCCCCTAATGGCCGCTGTGGCCGGCGCGCTGCAGCCAGCGCACTGCGCTGATCCGAAGCCAAGAGCCAGGTGCTTCTCCTGGTCTGCTATGGGGGTGCAGGTGGGCCATCCTCCACTGCCTTCCCGGGCCACAGCAGAGAGCTGGCCTGGAAGAGGAGCAACCAGGACAGAACTGGCTCCCCAACCGGGACTAGAACACGGGGTGCCAGTGCCACAGGTGGAGGATTAACCTATTGGGCTGCGGCGCCAGCAAAGGTAACTCTTCAATTAGAAATAAATGATTTGGAGAAGGTGTTTAGAAGAGTGATTAAGACATCAATGAGAGCTTGCACATCCCTTAGTAGAGGGCCTAGATTGTAACTTCCTTTTAATGTGCACCTAGGGAGGCAAGCGGTGATGGATCAAGCACTTGGGTCCCTGCTACCAGCATGGGAGACCTGGATGGAGTTCCTGGCTCCTGGCTGTTGTGGGCATTTAGAAGGTGAACCAAGGGTGAAGCAGGCGATGAAGATCTTTCTTTGTTTCTCTCTGCTTTTCAAATAAATTAAAAGTTAACAATTTTTTTTAAAAGAAATAAACAATTAGAGCCTGCTTATTTTGTATGCATTAAATTTTAGAGTAACCACATAACCATAACTGATAAAAGTTTTTAAAAAATTTGAGAAAAGGGCAGAGAGAGAGAGAGAGAGAGAGAAGAGATCTGCCATAACTGGTTCACTTCCCAAATGTTGGAAACAGCCTGGGCTGGACCAGGCGAAAGCTAGGAGCCAGGATGCCCATCCATGTGTCCCACAAGGTAGCAGGGACTCAAGTACTTGAGCAATCATCTATTGCATTTTCCTGCACATAAGCAGGGAGCTGTATCCAAAGCAGAGGAAAGGAGTGGGTACTCCAGTATGCACTGTGGCTGTCCCAAGCAACTTAACCCACTGCACCACAGCAATCCCAGAGGGAAACCTTTTGACATAGATATTTCAACTCCTAACTCTGGCAAGAATGGTCACATTAGAAAGGCACTAAAGCAACCCTTACTGTGATGACTCAGTGGTTAACAATTGATTAAACTGCTAGGGTTAGGTGGAAGTTTGATTCAGAAATTACAAGAGGACTTAGGCTTCCTGTCATAGATCCTCTGATCAATCTTACCATAACTTAAGGGACAATGACCACCTGCCACCTGGTGTCATGCAATCCACATGAAGTACAGGGTACCAGCTATAGAGGACTGTTGAGCTGTGACCAAATAAGGCACGTAGAGGTAACCTGTTAAATGGAATTAAGTTGTCTCATTTTCTTCAGCAAATTAAAATCATTTTAAAAAATTGTAAATTTAATTTCCATTTATTTGAAAAGGCAGAGAAAGAGAGAGAGAGACAGAGAGATCTTCATCTGCTGGTTCACTTCTCAAATGCCCACAACCACAACAGCCAGGACTGGGCCAGGCTGAAGCCAGGAGCCTGGAAATCCATTCAGGTCTCCCAAAATGGTGACAGGGACCCAGTCACTGAGCATTCACTGCGGCATTAACAAGAAGTTGTCATCAGAAGCACAGCTGAAACTTGAACCCAGATATGTTAATATGGGATGCAGCATCTTAACCACCGTGCTGAACACCTACTCCATTCAAAATCATTTTAAAAGTAAATAGAGTTAGGCCGGCGCTGTGGCTCACTAGGCTAATCCTCCACCTTGCGGCACCGGCACACCGTGTTCTCTAGTCCCAGTCGGGGCGCCGGATTCTGTCCCGGTTGCCCCTCTTCCAGGCCAGCTCTCTGCTGTGGCCAGGGAGTGCAGTGGAGGATGGCCCAAGTGCTTGGGCCCTGCACCCCATGAGAGACCAGGAGAAGCACCTGGCTCCTGGCTTCGGATCAGCGCGGTGCGCCAGCTGCAGGGCGCCAGCCGTGGCGGCCATTGGAGGGTGAACCAACAGCAAAGGAAGACCTTTCTCTCTGTCTCTCTCTCTCACTGTCCACTCTGTCTATCAAAAAAAAAAAAAAATAAATAAATAAAATAAAAAAATAGAGTTAGTGTTTGGCCTAGGTGGTAAGACACTGGTTAAGATGCTCATGCCCTGTGTCATGTCCCATAGTGCCCAGATTTGTTTCCTGGCTCTGGCTCCTGACACCAGCTTCCTGCCAATGCAGAGACTCTGAGGCAGAAGTGATGGTTCAAGTAGTTGCGCTCTTGTCACCCATGTAGGAGACCTGGATTGACTTCCTGGCTTCCAGCTTTGGCCAGGCTCTGCCCCAGCCATTGGGGGTATTTGGAAATGAGCCAGCACATGGGTGGTCTCTCTCTGATTCTATCAGTATCTCTCTCTGTCCCTCAAATAAATAAATGGATACTTAATGCATAAATGAAAAGCAGACAGGATACTGCATGTGTGTGTGTGGTGGTGGGGTGTAGATTAAGACTTAAGAGACAGAGTGAGCAGTTGGTGTGGAACAAATAAAACTACAGAATTATTTTTGAGGCATTGAAAAGTCTAACTGATTGGAAAGCAAAATTGTGCGATTTTGTAGGTATAATATGGTTATGCAAATAAACATCAAATTCCTGGAGAGTCACATTGAAGTACATGGTAATGAAGGGACCTGATGTCAGAGGTAGGCTTTAACATACTTCGAGATTAGAAAAATCTTGACAAATGCTGAGTCTTGACAAATGCTGGTTTTGTGAAAATTCCTTATGCTGTTGTGTCTGCTTTAGCACCTCAGGGTAATCTTTGTATGACAAAGAGATATTATCACCATGACTTAGGAATTAAGAGCCATTATTTTTGGAAGCAGAAGTTTCAGAGGGAGATATGGGAGGTTAATGTATTCATATACTCTTATTTACATACATGCAGATTTAGTTTTGATTATTTATTTCAGCCAACAGCAATTAAAATACAGATCCGAAAAGATCAATTGGAAATGGGTGAAGTTTTTTTTAAATGAAAGTTCTTAATTCAACCAACCAATGAACCAAATTCAGACACAGAATATAGTAGAAGGAAAGAGTCAGCCACTTTATGTCCCATGGTCTGGAGTCCTTATAACTATTTGGAAGATTATCCTGGGTTAGTCCTTCCCATAAACTCATGGGAATCGTGGATCTGCAAAGCCGATGTTACCAGAAAATTCGTGTTTTTGAAACCTCAGGATACACGTTCCTGTCCAGGGGAAACTTGTAAAGGCAGAAAACCAAGCCACTCAAAAACATGAGGAGGGCAGAGAGAGCTGCCACTAGAATGGCACTCCCAGCTTCCTGAGTACCCGGCTTGATTGGCAGATGGAAAGATGATGGGAAGGCAATGCCTTGTACATTCACAATGGAGTAGTAATTCCAGAATGCAGTGGTTAAGACACAGACACTAGTAATTATGTACAGGACTCCAGAAGCCACAAATGGGTTGAAGAGGGTATTCGTCCCCACAATGCCCATGTACACATTTCTAAGTGCAAGGATGATAAAGGCCTTCCCCAGAAGCCCTAGAAGGTTGGCAGCCAGCAGGAGGTGTTGAGAAACACGGATACTGAGAGGGAGGAAGGTATCATTGTAGGTGTGTCGGTGACAGAATTTGGTATGTCTGTGGCTTTGGTTGGAGTCGTGGTGATGGTGGTAAATGCAGGTTCTCCATATTCCCACACTGGCAAATCCTTTGGGGGAGAGCAAGGGGTCATCCATGCACCACAATCGCCACTTTGCAAGGCCCATGGAAGTGGTGAAGAGGATCCATCCTATGGTGGAAATGGCAAAACCTGCTACTTGGCGATTGGCACTATTGACAAGTAAGGTCATGGTGGCAGCACACCCACGAGAACTGCAAACAAATACAGGGCATCATGAGGGCAGGACTCTTGGGTCTGGCACAGTCCTCCATGGGACACAGTATCAACAGCGAAGGGTTATGCAAGAGGTCCTCAAAGAGGTCATGGGAAACGCAAGTGAAAAACCATGCACGGACTTCAAAATTCCTTGGAACCAAAATAAACACAACTGATTTTTAATTCCAGTTTTGCACAAACTTTTTGTGTTACACTCCTGTATTCACAAAAGGAAACATTTGACGCTGTCTGCTGGAGGGGGCAGGCATTCTGCATTCTGTGGAAGTTTCAGGAAGGACCATTTAAATGCACAAAACTTCAAATAATTGGTTCCACTGCTAAATGCTGGTGCACAAACATAATCAAGGTTCGTGCACACTAATACTGAAATGTGCAAAATACTGTCTAGTCCAACAATAGGGCTTTACTGAATAACATGCTATATCCACACAATGAAGATATATGCCAACATTAAAAGTGGACATACAAGATGTAATATTGTATGCCTGGCACTTTTCACTTAGCATAATAGTTTCAAGATTCACCCGTGTTGTAGCATGTGTGAGAAGTCTGGCCATTGTAGTATGTGTGTGTGTGGGGTGGATTCTGTATTATGGGTATAACACCATTTGTCAAGTCATTTTTAGTTTATGGATATCTGGACTGCTTTCATGTTTTGTCTGTTATGAATAATGCTACTGTGAAAATTCACGATTATGCACACACACACACAAACACACATATATGCATATGTATGAGTCTGCATTGATATATTTTCACATTTCTCTTGCATAAAAGCCTAGGAATACAATCGCTGGAATGTATATTAAGTGTATATTTGACTTTTTAGCAATTGCTAACTCATTTCCACAAGTCATCACACTATTTTACATTTTCACCAGTAAGATAGTGTAGGTTGCAATTTCTCCACATCATCTCCAACATTTTGGTATTTATAGTCTTTTATATTGGAGCAGTTCTAGTCACCATCTCATGTGACCAAAAGGAAGAATGCTCACAATACATCAAGTACAAACAACTTGGTATAAAATAGTGTGTGGATATAATCATGGATAAGAATTGAACTGGAAGGCTATCTGCTAATTATTAAAAGAAACAAATTTTATTTAAAAGGCAGAGTGATCTCTTTCTCTACTAGCTATCTATCCAAATGTGTGCAACAGCCAGAACTGTGCCAGGCTGAAGCAGAGAACTGTGCATTTTGTCTGGATCTCCTATGGAGGTGCAGGACCCCAAGTATTTGAGTTGTCACAGTTACCTCCTAGGGTTCACATTAGCAGGAACTTAGAGTCAAGAGTGGATCCAGGACCTGAACCCAGGCACTCTGCTATGGAATGCAGGCATCCCAAGTGGCGGCTTGACTGCTGCTCCAAATGCTTGTCCCAAGAGAAATTTTTAACTGCGTCTGAGGGATTAGCGCACCGTGCTGATCCGAAGCCAGGAGCCAGGTGCTTCTCCTGGTCTGCCATGGGGGTGCAGGGCCCAAGGACTTGGGCCATCCTCCACTGCCTTCCCCGGGCCACAGCAGAGAGCTGGACTGGAAGAGGAGCGACCGGTACAGAATCCGGCACCCTGACCTGGCCTAGAACCCAGGGTGCCAGCGCCTCAGGTGGAAGATTAGCCTATTGAGCAGCGGCACTGGCCGGGATTATAACATTTTAAAAGCTATTTGTATTGTGAAGACTCACACATATATAGAAAAATATGTAGATCTAAGTGTACAGTTCAATGAATTATCACAGGGTACACATCACTGAGTTTGCAACAACTATCACCACTTCGTGGCCTTTACAATTCTGTCACTTCAACATGCATTCCCAAACACCCCCCAAACAGTGGAATTCAAGTTTGTCCAGTTTTCAAAACAGGCACCTTGAAGTAGTCATTCCCTCCTGACTGGCTTCTTTGACTCAATACTGTGTTTATTTCTGACATTCATGTGATGATGTTTTTAATGATGCCTGGCTGCTCAATAGTTTTTGATATTCTGTCATAAGCCTGGTCTTTTAAAATAAGAAATAACAAAAAGACTTCATTAAATTGTCAGACTGTGGAGGATTAACTAATGCTGGAATCTAAATAAGAGAGTACTTTAGAAAGTTTATGTGAAAATGGAATTAAAAGTATGAGTTTGTTTTCGTCCAAAAGTTTTTGCTGCAAAAAACAAAACAGAACAAAACAAAACAAAAAGATTGGCCATTTGACGTAGCAGGTTAACCCACTGCCTGCTGCACCAGCATCCTGTATGGTTGCTCCACTCCATTCCAGCTCCCTGCTAATGCTCCTAGGAAAGCAGCTTCAGGCTCCTGCACATATGTGGGAGACCTGAAAGAAGCTCCTGGCTCCTGACTTCAGCTCAGCTCAGCTCCAGTGATGTGGCCATTTGGGGAGTGAACTAGCAGATGGAAGATCCTTCCCCCACCCCTGTAACTCTGCCTTTCTAATAAGTAACATAAATATTGAAAAACTTTTAAAATGATTTTCTTGACACATGGAAAATGTGTATCAAGGAAAAAAATGTATGGGGTTCAAACTCATTTTAGCACCTAATTAAACTCATACTGCAACTCCATTTTCTATGAAATTTTTGAAGTACATAATTTAATACCTACTAAGTATGAAGGAACTTCAAGTTTATGGAAAACAGATTTAAAAGATAAGCTTAGGGGTGGACATTTAGCATAGTGCTTAAAATGCCAGTTTGTAGGCTTGTTTCCTATACTGGAGTGCCTGGATTCAATACCTGTCTCCAGCTCCTTACTCCAAATTACTCTTCATTCAGACCCTGGAAGGCAGAGGTTTTGCCTCAAAGACTTGGATCCCAGCTAGATACATGCGAGACCTTGCTTGAGTTCCCAGCTTCTGGCTTCAGCCCAGCCCAGCCCTGGCTGTTGAGGGCACTTGAGGCATGAACTAGGGGACAGGAGCACTCTTTTTCTGTATCCATCCCTCTCTCTGTCTCTCAAATGAATACTTTATTTATTTATTTGACAGGCAGAGTGGACAGTGAGAGAGAGAGACAGGGAGAAAGGTCTTCCTTTTCCGTTGGTTCACCCTCCAATGGCCGCCACGGCTAGCACGCTGTGGCTGGTGCACCGCGCCGATCCGATGGCAGGAGCCAGGTACTTATCCTGGTCTCCCATGGGGTGCAGGGCCAAGCACTTGGGCCATCCTCCACTGCACTCCCGGGCCATAGCAGAGAGCTGACCTGGAAGAGGGGCAACCGGGACAGAATCCGGCGCCCCGACCGGGACTAGAACTGGCTGTGCCAGTGCCGCAAGGTGGAGGATTAGCCTAGTGAGCCGTGGTGCCAGCCGAATACATCATTTTTTTTTTTTTTTTTGACAGGCAGAGTGGACAGTGAGAGAGAGAGACAGAGAGAAAGGTCTTCCTTTGCCATTGGTTCACCCTCCAATGGCCGCCGCGGCCGGCGTGCTGCGGCCGGCGCACCGCGCTGATCCGATGGCAGGAGCCAGGAGCCAGGAGCCAGGTGCTTTTCCTGGTCTCCCATGGGGTGCAGGGCCCAAGCACCTGGGCCATCCTCCACTGCACTCCCTGGCCACAGCAGAGGGCTGCCCTGGAAGAGGGGCAACCGGGACAGAATCCGGTGCCCCGACCGGGACTAGAACCCGGTGTGCCGGCGCCGCTAGGCGGAGGATTAGCCTAGTGAGCCGCGGCGCCGGCCGAATACATCATTTTTAAAAATTAAAGACAACACTTTATTTTGGTGCAAAAAATTTGAAATTGGTGTACAGTTTTGACATGATACACATTTTCTATGAACTCTTTGAAGACCCTTCATACATAAAATTTAGATTTCTTTTATACCAAAACAAACCTTTAAGTCTATTTTCCAGGAGATTTTTGAAGTACCCTCATATTTTCAGGTGCTCATAACTTGCAATGGGGTTATGCCCAACAATCATAAATTCAAAATATTTTGAGTTGGGCTGGTGGTTGGCCCAGCAGTTAGGACCTGCATCCCATATCAGAGTGCCTGTGTTCGATCTTGACTTCACTTCCGATTCCATCTTCCTGCTAGAGCACTCCCCAGGGGGCAGCACATGATGGCTCAAGAACTTCGCTCCCTGCTACCCATGTGGAAAACTCAAATTGAGTTTCTGGCTGCCAGATTTGGCTTGGCCCAGACCAGCCTGTTGCAGGAATGTGGGGAGTATTCCAACAGATAGGAGATCTCTGTCTCCCCGCTTCTTAAACAAGAACTATTGTAAAAAAATAGGAAAAGAAAATATCATGAGTCAGCAATGCATTTAATACACTCCCCTCCCAAGCACCCTAGCTGAGCAACACAACACACTGCAAAGTGGTGCTTGTGTCCCTTGTGACTGTGCAGCTGTTGGACCTGTGCTCACTGTCACTGCCCAGTATCATAAAAGAGGATGGAACTGCAAAACACAAACCCAGGAGAAGATCCAAATGCAAAATTCAAAGTACTGTTTCTACTGAACGCATATTGTCTGATTGTAAAGTCTTAAGTTTTAAGTCCCACCATCCTAAGTGAAACCACTGTGAAAAGCCAAAGTGACTCTATTTTGAAACAATAAAAAGCAGCCTCCGTTTCCCATAGCAGACCCGAGTCCTTGTAAAAGAAGGCATTCAGGCATTCTGGAGATATCAAAGCTTACCAAGGACAGCTAGCTCAGCAGACCAAGGGCAGCTCAGTAGAGATTACCAAAAGAGGCAACTCCCTAAACCCAAGCCAAATGGAGACCCCCACCCCCCGCCCTGCCCTTGCTGACATATCTTCCCTTTAAAAGCGACCCCAAACAAAGACCTGGGCCTTTCCTCCTTCCTCCACTGCACCGGTTGGTTGGATGAGGTCCCTGTTGCAGCTTGTACCTTTTTAATAAAAACCTTGCTTTTGCATTTTGGTGTGATCGGGTCGCTGATAGCTTCTTAGGGATCTACTTATCTGCGCATAACACATTGTATGTCCAGGACTATCTATATGCATTATGGAATATTATTTATATTCACAGCATTAGAAATGAAGGAAACTCTGACACAGAATGTAACAGGAATGACCATTGAGCTCACTATGCTAAGTGAAATAAGCCACATACAAGAGGATAATACTGTATGACTGTGCTTAAAGTACCCAGGGTAGTCACATTCATAAAGACTGAAAGTAGTGACCGCTAGAGCCTAGGGGGCAGGAGAACAGGGGAGGTGGCATTTCATGCAGATAGGTTTCAGTTGGGGTTGATGAAAATGTTCCCAAGTTGCATATTGGTAAGACCTGCCCAACAATATGCTACTTACCTAATTAACTGTGGTGGAATGAGCTGACCTTGCCAAGATGGCACTGGTGAGCGAGTGTCAGTTACTCAGGAAATGGCTTCGGAACCCACCTGGCAAAGGAGCCTGCCTAGCAACAGGCAGTGATTGGTTATGGCATAAACCATCCATTGACCAGATTGGCTGCCTTGGCTAGATAAGCTGCTACACCAACTGCAAGAGTCTGCAAGCTGCTCACCTCTAGCCGGCTTTCACCTGACTCCGGGTGTCTGTGTCGTGACTCCCCACCTCTTGCCCCCACTGTGCTTCTCCTTTCAAAATGAATTTACAGTAACAGTTTTCACATGGTCGGTTTTGTCATGCATATTTTACCACCATATGAGGAAAAAGAAAGAGGGAGGGAGTGTCCCCTTAACCAGCTGTGTGGTCTCCAAGTGAACCAGAAGCAATGTGAGAGAAGGCTGGCAGCTCACAGGGCCAGCATGGCTGAGGATGACACAGTACCTCCGTGACATCCCTCCTGGCTCTCCATCGCGGGCTTCTGGATTGAGGCAGCTGTAGGTGGCCCAGTGTTCAGTCACCAGGCCCTCTCTTTAGCCCTCCACTCTGGCCAACATCCACACTCCTTGTCAAGTCACCACCTTCTAAATTCTCAGTTGCTAGTCTGTGAATACCATGACAGCAGCCATTATGTCATGGGCCATGACTACGTTCTGGCAGCCTGTAGAGGTCACTTGTCCTCTGTTCTGGCAGCCTGTAGGGGTCAGTTGGGGTCTACACATGGACGGTGAGTCCATCTTCTAAGTAGGGATCCAGCTTGACATGACCCAGCCGTTTTCATTAGAAACATCCTGTCCAGTAGGTCTCCCTGGCACTCATCCCATTTAGTTTTTTTTTTTCCTTGTGAAGATTTATTTGAACAGTAGAGTTACAGAAAGGGAGAGATAGATGTCTTCCACCCACTGGTTCACTCTCCAAATGGCCACAATAGCTGGAGCTGGGCCAATCCAGACAGAAGCCAGGAGCTTCTTCTGGGTCTCCCATGTGAGTGCAGAGCCCAAATACCTGGGCCATCTTCCGGTGCTTTTCCAGGTACATCAGTAAGGAGCTAGATCACAGGTGGAGCAGTCCGGACTCAAACTGGTGTCAGTATGGGATGCCACAGCACCAGCCCCAAGGATTTAGTTCTTTAAATGTTTTGTAGAATGCATATGTGAATCCATCAGATCCTAGACTTTCTTGTTGGGAGACTTTCAATATCTGTTTATTTATTTGAAAGGCATAAATACAGAAAGACAGAGGCAGAGAGAGAGAGAGAGAGAAAGAGAGAGAGTCTTCCATCTGCTGGTTCACTCCACAAATGGAGGCAATGGTCGGCGCTAGGCTGATCAAAAGCCAGAAGCCTGGTGCTTCTTTCAGGTCCCCCATGTGGGTCCAGGGACCCAAGGACTTGGGCCATCTTCCACTGCCTTCCCAGGCCATAGCAGAAAGCTGTATCGGATATGGAGCAGCTGAGACTTGAACCAGCACCCACATGGGATGCTGGCACCACAGGATGTCTTTTCCGGCTACGCCACAGTGCTGGCCCTGACTTTCAATTATTGTTTAAATCTTCATTACTTGTTATTGCTGTGTTTAGATTTTCAACATCCTGCTTAATTAATTTTGGGAAGCTGAATCTTGAAAAGTGTTGAGGATTTATCTGTTTCCTTAAGGTTGTCAAATTTGTTTGCATATAATCATTCATAGTAGCTTCTTCTTCTTCTTCTTCTTCTTTTTTTTTTTTTTTTTTTTTTTTTTTTTTTGACAGGCAGAGTGGACAGTGAGAGAGAGAGAGACAGAGAAAGGTCTTCCTTTTGCCATTGGTTCACCCTCCAGTGGCCACTGCGGCCGGCGTGCTGCGGCTGGCGCATCACGCTGATCCGAAGGCAGGAGCCAGGTGCTTCTCCTGGTCTCCCATGGGGTGCAGGGCCCAAGCACTTGGGCCATCCTCCACTGCACTCGCGGGCCAAAGCAGAGAGCTGGCCTGGAAGAGGGGCAATCGGGACAGAATCCAGCGCCCTCACCAGGACTAGAACCTGGTGTGCTGGCACCGCAAGGTGGAGGATTAGCCTAGTGAGCCGCAGCGCCGGCCCATAGTAGCTTCTTATGATGGTTTGTTTTTCTGTCGTATCAGTTGTAATTGTCTCATTTTCATTTCTAATTTTATTTGTCCTTCCTTTGTTAATCTAATAGTTTGTCTACTTTGTTTTTCAGTAAATAAGCTTTTTTTGGGTGCCAAGACATTGTTTGGGACATCCCCATCCTATATCAGCATGCCTTAATTCAAGTCTTAGCTCCAGTCCAGATCAGCTTCCTGCTCATGTACACCCTGAGAAATACCAGATGATGGCTCATGTGCTTGGGTTCCTGTCACATACATGGGAGACCTGGAATGAGTTTTGGGCTCCTGGCTTTGGCGTGACATAGTCCTGACTGTTGCAAGCATTTAAAGCATGAATTCACAGGTGGCAGATCTTTTTGTCTGTTTCTTTCTCTGTTCTTCACATATATTAAAAAACAAAAAAATGATAAATCAGGTTTTCATTGTGTTGGTCTTTTGCATTAAAAATTTTTTTGTTTACCAGTATTTGAAATGCACATCTGACTTTTATCATGCTACACCATAGAGCATTTTTCTGTTTGTCCAAAAGATGGCAGCACAAACACATCACATAAAGTAGCAGCAAAAACAGTGTATTTGGTCTGAAATTGAATGCTGATGTTAACTGCTTGTTTATTGTGACATGTTATTTACCAAATAATTACTAATTGGATTGTTTATGTTTCTTGCAAAATGCCTATACATGCACTGCAAAATTGGTATAAAGGAGAAAAAATGCAAGTTACCTGTTGTAGTAAGCTCAGATACAGCCAGGGTTGAGTCTGATATTGACCTTCATGTTGGCAGGAATGTGATAGCAAGAGGAGACTACACATTTTTCAGACAAAATATGTCACCACCACCACCCAGGCAGCACAGTTGTTTACTAATTCATCCTTTTTTTTTTTTTTTTTTTTTGACAGGCAGAGTGGACAGTGAGAGAGAGAGAGAGAGAGAAAGGTCTTCCTTTGCCGTTGGTTCACCCTCCAATGGCCGCCGCGGCCGGCCGGCCGGCCGCCGCACCGCGCCGATCCGATGGCAGGAGCCAGGAGCCAGGTGCTTTTCCTGGTCTCCCATGGGGTGCAGGGCCCAAGCACCTGGGCCATCCTCCACTGCACTCCCGGGCCACAGCAGAGGGCTGGCCTGGAAGAGGGGCAACCGGGACAGAATCCGGTGCCCCAACCGGGACTAGAACCCGGTGTGCCGGCGCCGCTAGGCGGAGGATTAGCCTAGTGAGCCGCGGTGCCGGCCATCTAATTCATCCTTTTACATCCAATGTTTCTTGAGCCTTTTCCCCGTGTGCCTGAATTATTTGACTTGGCGACTTTGAAGAATGCATGACATTCCATCCTGTGAATGAGTTGTAACTTACTTAATTGATTTAAATTAGGCATGTTAATTGTCTTTAAATGATAAAGGATTTCCCATATACAAAATATATGAAGAAAAATATTGTAGTCACCCAAATAATGTAACCAAATTTTTTAAATTTTAAAATATATTTCTGAAGCAGAGAGAGTCAGAGACAAAAAGGGAGAGTTCCCATTAGCTGGTTTGCTTCCTAAATGCCTGCAAAGCTTGCTCTGAGTTGAGGCTGGAACCAGGAGCTGGAAACTCAATCCAGGTCCTCCATGTGAGTGTCAGGAAGCCAATTACTTGAGTCCATCACTGCTCCCTTGAAGGATCGTCCTCAGCAGGAGGCTGGAAGCAGGTATCGAACCCAAGTACATTATTTTATTTTAATTATTTATTTGAAAATCAGAGCCACACACAGAGAGAGAAGGGGAGGCATAGAGAGAGAGTAGTCCTCCATCTGCTAGTTTACCACCACCCCACCCCCCAAAACTGGCCACAATGGCCAGAGATGCTCCAATCCAAAGCCAGGAGCCAGGAGCCTCCTCCGGGTCTCCCACACAGGTTCAGGGGCCCAAGGACTTGGGCCATCTTCCACTGCCCTCCCAGGACATAGCAGAGAGCTGGACCAGCAGCGGAGCACGAACCGGCTCTGTGGTGTAGCCAGTGAAGCCACTGTCTGCAGTGCTGACATCCCATATGGGCACTGGTTTGAGTCCCGGCTGCTCCACTTCTGGTCAAGCTCTCTTCTATAGCCTGGGAAAGCAGTAGAAGATGGCCCAAGTCCTTGGGCCCCTGCACTGTGTGGGAGACCTGGAAGAAGCTCCTGGCTATTGGCATTGGATCAGCACAGCTCTGGCTGTTGCAGCCAATTGGGGAGTGAAGCAGCAGATGGAAGACCTCTCTCTCTCTCTCTCTCTCTCTCTCTCTCTCTCTCTCTGCCTTTCCTTCTCTTTCTGTGTAACTCTGACTTTCATGTAAATAATAAAATAAACCTTATAAAAAAAGAAGTGGAGCAACCAGGCCTTGAACCCACTATGCCACAGCGCCCGCCCCCAAACCCATGTACTTTAAGATGAGAGACAGACATCTTAACCCGTGCCTTTCTCCATAGGCTAAACATCCACCCCACGATCCACATTTAACACATGTTCACTTTTTTGCCATCTTTGCTTTAAATATTTTTAGAAACTATAATTTATAGATAGAATTGAAGAGTCCCTCTATGTAATTAGTTCCTGTCTTTACATCTGTATATTGTCACTCTACATCATAAAGCATTTTTCCATTTGTCCAGAAGGTGGCAACATAGGCACTTCAGATAAAGTAACATGCAATTTCTGCATATTTGTTCTGAAATTGAACACTGATGTTAATTGATCAGTTCATTTTTGACAAGTTATTTGCACAAAAATATTTATTAGGTTGTTTTTCTGATAAAATAACTATACAATCATTGTAAAATTGGTACAGAGAAGAAAAAAATACGTTAACTTAGGAAGTACTTCTTGAATATAGCCAGAGTTAACAATCTGAAATTTATCTTCATGGTTATAGACACATGATAGAAATAAGAGATTACATAAAACTTATCCCCCCATACAATTGTGTCTTTTTTTTTAAGATTTATTTATTTGTTTGAAAAGCAGAGATACAGAGAAGAAGAGGCAGAGAGGGAGGGAAAGAGAGAAGGGGAGGGAGAGATCTTCCATCCCTTGTTTCACTCCCCAAATGGTCGCAACAGCTGGAGCTGGGCTAATCTGAAGCCAGTAGCCAGGAGCTTCTTCCAGGTCTCCCATGCAGGTACAGGGACCCAAGCACTTGGGCCATCTTCCACTGCTTTCCCAGGCCATAGCAGAGAGCTGGATCAGATATGGAGCAGCCGGGACTTGAACCGGTGCCCATATGGGATGTCAGCACTGCAGATGGCAATTTTACCCACTGTGCCACAGCGCCAGTCCCACAGTTGGTTTCTAATCTACCCTTTCACATCAAATGTTTAATGTGGAGCCCGCACTGTGGAGTAGCTGGTAAAGCTGCGGTCTGCAGTTTGAGTCCCCGCTGCTCCACTTCCGATCCAGCTCTCTGCTATGGTCTGGGAAAGCAGTGGAA